GTCCGGTCACATCTGTGGTGTATGTATCTTGCTCTGTAAACCTGCATCTTGCTCTTGCTCTATAATCCTATCTTGCTGGTCCTCAATTAATTTCACCTCGTGCTTGCCTCACTTTGGTGTGTTTGGTCATTCTTTGGCCAAGCGCACAGAACAAGATTGCCAAACCAGACATCAGGATTGAATTTTATTGTCTTGGGGGGAAAAAGCCCACATCAGGTGTCAGAAGTGCAATGTTGTATGAATGAGTATAGAGAAATAGTTTTTTCTCAGAATTTACTAGAATAGCTAAAATCCAAAACAGTAACAACATCAAATGCTGGCAAGGATGTGGAACCATAGAAGCTCTCACTCATGGCTGATGGAAATGCAAAATGGTACAGCCACTTTGGAAAACAGTTTGATAGTTTCTTATAAAACTAAACATAATCTCACGATACAACCCAGCAATTGTGCTCCTTGGTATTGACTCAAAGGAGTTGAAAACTTATGTCCACACAAAAACTACAGAATGTGCAACACAAGGAGTGTACCTTAATGTAAACTATGAACTTTAGTTAATACTAATGATATACCACACTAATGCAAGATGACAATAATAGGGGACACTGTGTATGTGCACACACCTGTTTGTGTGTGTGTGTGTGTGTGCGCATGCGCGTGTGCACGTGTGTTGGGTTGGGGGGTGGTATGTATGTGAGGAAATTTACAGGAACTTTTAACTTTCTGCTCAATTTTTCTGTAGACCTCAAGCTGCTCTGTAGTTGTCTGTGAGAGCTGCTGTGATCATGTGCCAGGAACTGGGTTACCTGAAACAGGAATTTATAGCCTCACAGCCCTGGAAGCTAGAAGTCCAAAGTCAAGGTGTGGGAGGGCCATGCTCCCTCTGGGACCATGGATAGAATCCTTCCTGCCTTTCCCCAGCTTGGGGTGGTGGCTGGCGCCCTTGGCACTCCTCCATTTACATGTGCATCAGTCCAGTCTTTGCCTCTGTCATCCAGAACTATCTTCCCATCGTCTTCCTCATTCATATCTGTGTGTGGATCCAAATTTCCCCTTGTTAAGGACACCAGTCACCTTAATGCCCTCGTCTTAGCTTGAGCATGTGCAAAGACCCTATTTCCAAATAAGGTCACATACAGGAACTTCCAAATATCTTTTAGAGGGAGGCACAATTCAACCCATAATATACTTTAAAAAAAATAAAGGGCATCAATTTTTTTAAATTCTCTTTCTTCCTATGATAAAAGGAAGATAGCGAGAGAGATGAAGAAATGACTTTCAGGACTTTGGCTTAATTCTCTGGCATAGATATTTCACTAGTAATAACTATAAATTCTAAGACCTGATGGTATTCACAGAATGATTTTCATTCTCAGTATTCTATTGAAGTAGAGGAGACATTTAAGTTAAAAGAAAAACGATCAAGTTCTTCCTTTATATGACATATCTAAAAAATGAAGAATACCTCCAAATACAGGTTATAATGGGTATCAATGTCTAGAAAGCAGCAAATTAAAAGTGTAGAGTTGTAAAGACAATTCTGTATGAGACTGGCATTAGGATAAAGATGTCAGGTTTGGGAAAAGAGGGGAATACAGTCTGTGATTGTGTATATTATTACATGTAGACTGTGGCTGGTTAGCTTCCTTGGTTAGAATTTCATGCTAATGAGAACACAGGCTCAGATGTCCTTACAAGTCAGAAATGTCCCTCTGTTCCAAGCCCTGAGCTGTGATCTGAACTCCCACCATCTCTCTATCTCATCTGTTGAAGAAAGCTGGTTGAATAAACTAATTGTATATGGTATATCCTCACCATTGAGTATTTTCAGTTAAATAAAGGAATGAGGTAGCACAGTAGTGTGCCCATAGTTGTAGCTATTCAGGGGCTGGGAGTTCGAGTCTGTAGAGCAATATGATTGTGTTGTGAATAGCCATTGCTAAAGTATGCCTTTATACCCTGCTATAGAATATGTACGTATGTCTTCATACCCTTCTAAAAACAAGGTGGAGAGAATGGTATATGTGATGCTTGCCTCATTATTCTAGAGACTTTTTTTCCTAATGTTAATACTTAAACTGGCAGGGAGCAGTGGCTCATGCCTGTAACCCCAGCACTTTGGGAGGCCGAGGCAGGAGGATCACTTGAAGCCAGGAGTTCAAGATCAGCCTGGGAAAGAGAGACCCCACCCCTACAAAAAAAAAAAAAAACACCAAAAATTAGCCAGGTGTTATGGTGCACACCTGTAGTCTCAGCTACTCAGGAGGCTGAGGCAGGAGGATTGCTTAAGCCCAGGAGTTGGAGATTACGGTGAGTTATGTTTGGGCCACTGCACTCCAGCCTAGGCAACAGAGTGAGAAAACCTTATGCTAACAGAGCACTGCTTTGGTTACCCCACGAGTCTGATATGTATTAACTTCATTATTTTTTGTGTCTAAATATTTTCTCATTTCCATTGCAATTTTTTTTCTTGAATCAACGAGTGGTTTAGAATTCTAGTTTTGATATCCGAACATCATGTTGTACACCCTAAGTATGTACGATTTTTATTGTCAAATTAAAATAAATAAAACATTTTTAATGTTTATTTTTGATGTTTAAATGCATGATTTTCTCCAGGTTCTTCTTGTTGTTTTTCATGTTCTCTAATATAATTGCACTGTGGCCTAAGAAGGTGTTCCCGTATGATGCCAATCCTCAAAAGTTGCTGGGAATAGCTTTGTAATCTAGGACTGCAGTCCCCAGCCCCTGGGCCTCGGATTGGTACCAGTCCGTGGGCGGTTAGGAACTGGGTCGCACAGCAGGAGGTGAGCTGCGGGCAAGGAAGCAAAGCATCAATCTGTATTTAAAGCTGCTCCCCATTGCTCGCATCACCGCCTCCTGTCAGATCAGCTGCGGCATTAGATTCTCATAGGAGCACGGACCCTGCTGCAAACTGTGCTTGCGAGGGATTTGGTTGTGTGCTCCTTAGGAGAACCTAATGCCTGATGATCTGAGGTGGAGCTGAGGTGGTGATGCTAGCGCTGGGGAGTGGCCGCAAATACAGATTATCGTTAGCAGAGAGGTTTGTCTAATTATTTCATTATATCTTACAATGTAATAATCACAGAAATAAAGTGCACAATAAATGTAATGTGCTCGGATCATCCCCAAACCGTCCCCCCACCCCCGCCCCAGGGCCGTGGAAAAATTGTCTTCCATGAGACCTGCCCCTGGTGCCAAAAAGGTTGGGGACCGCTGATCTAGGAGATGATCAGTTTTCGTAGGCATTCCATATGTCCTTGATGAGGATGTGTTTTCTCTGATTTTGAAGTATAATGTGTGTTCTCTTTCTCTCTCTCAACAAGGTTGTTAAACCTTGCTAAATATGCCATTCATAGCTTCTGTATACTTATCTATTAATATATTGGTTTGGTTATCAATTTTAGCTTGTCAACTACAATAATCTACAGAGACAGAGATTTTTAAATCTCCCATTATTGTCACAAATTTTTAATTTCTTCTTCCAGATATGTCAGATTTTGGTGTATGTATTTTGAAGTTAAATAATACATTCCTGCAAGTTCATTATTATGAATTGAACCTTTATCATTATCTTTATCTCTAGTAAAATCTTTAGGAAAATTTATCTTCTTTAAAGTCTGTTTGTCAGCTTTTGGGGGTTAATATTACCAAGTACATGTTTTTCCATTCATTGACTTTCAATGATTTAAGATCCTTATGTTTCTGTATACCTCTTATAATAAGCATATGCATAGGATTCTCTTAACCCAGTCCAATACCCTCTGCTTCTAACTGTAGAGTTTAGTCCATTTACATTAATAGAGTTGTGGATATATCAGATTCAGATTCATTACTATAATCTTATTATATATATGCTTCTTTTTGTCCACTTTTTTTCTATTTGTTTTCTCCTTTTTTTTTTTTTGCCTTCTTTTGGATTTGTTTAGGGTTTTCTCTCCCCTCAATTCCCCGCCCCCCATTCCATTTTTTTCCTTTTTACTTTGTTTGGAAATCATATTTTCATTCTTTCTAAAGAGCTCTGTTGCATAGATGTTTCATAGTCTCCTCAACGTGTCAGCTACCTACTGATGAACACACGTGCTGTTTTCAACCTTTTGCTGTCACTCGTACCACTGCAGTAAATAGGCTTTTGTTAGCTCTATTCTTTTTAGAGCAGTTTCTAGGCTCATAATAGCTACCCTAGATCTTCCAGGATATATATTTAGCTTATAGTGCTTGCTTTGGCAGCACATATACTAAAATATGTTCAGCTTATAAAACTAAAATTAAACAGCATCTTTAACCTCTTCTGGAAGAGTAAAAGGACCTTGGGAAACGTTAATAATAATGTTCCCCCAAAATACATTCTGTGCTATCTAGAATTTTCATACTAGACTGTTTTGACCTATAAATTAGATATTATTATTGTTTTGTATCATAAATGTACATCTATATTTACCTACATATTCATCAATTTCTTTTCTTACCATTCTTTCTTATATAACAGGTCTTCCATCTGCTGTTATTTTGGAATTCACTGGATTCCTGGGACCTGAAAATTGGTGTCCTTAACAATTCTGGAAAAACTTTCATCCATAATCTTTTAAAATATGGCCCATTCTCCCCATCTCCTGCTGGTGCGTTGTTAAGGCACAAGCCGTACCCCATCATTTCAGCCTCTCTCTGCCCTAGCCCCTTGTCATGTTTTGTTTCCCTTTGTCTAACTAAACTGCATTCTGAAAAATATTTTTGACATCTTCTAGTTCACTAAATTACTCTTCACCCATATCTAATCTGCTGGTTAATCCATCCATTGAGTTTTCCTTTCCTTTATTGTTTTTTAATTTTTGCAGTTCGATTTGTTTTTTAAATATCTTCACGGTCATTTTGTATAATCTATTGTTCCCAGCTCACATATTCAAATTCCCTTTGAGAATTTGTTTCAGCTGTCTGTTGATTCTGCTAATTCTCACATATAGTGCCTTATTTCATTGCAGGTTTTGTGAGTGGTGCCGTGACAGCTTATTTCCTTGGATCATTAATTGCAGAAATTCTTTGAGGCTGGCTTGCTGTTGAAGTCCATCAAAGAGGATGCGCATTTGCTTTTTGCAGTATCCTAAAGGTGCCACCGATCTGGAACCACTCTGAATAAAATTATCTACTTGTGGTTTTTGGTGGGTGCAGATGTGAATTTGGTGAATTTGATGTGAATTTGGACTGAAAACTCACGTATCTTACTTACAGTTATATATTATCAGAGAAACGTTTTTTTTTCTTTTCCCCAGCACCAAGTGTAGGCATGTGAGTTTCTTGGCTTTAACTTTGTCTTCTGCACACTAGAGTTTATTTCTAATTCACCTTAACACAAATTATAGCCCTTTGGTGTCCAATACTTATGCAGGTATTTTGCATCAGATTCCTCATTGGGGTGGTCCCTAGGATTTTAATTCTGCCTCTCATACCTATGTATTCTTCAAAGCAGTAACTCCAAGTATTCTAGTTTTCAGCAAGAACCTTCAAGATGAAAGCAAGCTAGCTTTGCACTGGCCTAATTCCCAAGGTTCCTCACTGTGCATTCTTTTGTATCTCTGTGGATTCCTTACCTTGGTACCATCTAGCAATGCATTTTAAAGGAAAAATTGGGTATTTACCCAACAATGTAGCTATTTCAATCATAAGTGTTGTTCAGTGCCCCTAAACTGCCTTACTGACAGAAACAGGAGTTTAGCTTTTGATTTTGACAGAAGCTCTTTGGTGACTCAAGAACTAAACCCAAACAACCTATAATGACCCGTCAAAAACTACTCACTCTTCACCTCTCCTCCATGACAGGTCCCTTAGATGAAAACCAAAACAGTACATTGCCAATTTGTCACAAATTCCTAACGGTGGCGTTTCCGGTATGTTGCCCATCAAAAGCGAATGATCTATTTTTTCCAAGCGATTCTCTTGAGGAAAGAGTGCATTGCTCTCGTGTGAAAGATAACCAGATAAAACTGCTCCAGCTCAAAGAGGAACTTTTCAGGACCATTTCACAATGTTCCAAAGAGAATAACATCCAGGTTTATAAAGAGTCCTCAAAGCAACACCGTGGCTGCCAAGAATAGTCTGGAGCATTTCGAATCCTACTGTTTCCCTCCCTTCCGACACTCAGTACTGCAAGCCATTCACAACCGGGAGAGCACGATTTATTCAGCCCTCAAAATTATGAGAACCCAAATGGATTGAGGTCATTTGAAATGCAGATGTGACCGCACTCTAATTACAATTGCCCCTGTGATTTTTGCTGTGAAGCACAAGCCGTCAGATGGAGATTAGAAAGATCTGGGCTATAACAGCAATGAAACATTTTGGTCCTAGATCGAAGTGAGTGTTAAAGTACACACAAAGAAAACGGAGACAACCATGGCTGGGGAAAAACTTGGCTGACATCATATTTTTTTTCTCCCCTTGGATAAATATCATGCTTCAGACGCCATGAAGGTACATTCCTCACTACAGGTGGAGGAGGGAGAAGGAGACATGTTAACAGTCCTGCAGATGGAGGGTCTAGTTCACAGGACTAAAGAAAGCTGATGCATGTTTCTGAAGGATTGATTCTTATAGACACAAAACTAGCTTTGATTAATGGAAAACGACATTTGCTTAAGTAACAAAACAACATCTCCTTTTTGGGAAACATGATCTATTTCATGTGATGCCAAAGATGCAATGGCTTATCTCACCCTAAAGCGTCCACATACGTACTGAGTCTCACCTTGCACAGTTGTCCGAGATCATCGCTGCAACACACACACACACACACACACAGCACAACTGTTAGAAATGTCTAAATGTAGGCTGTGATAGCACCAACTCTTCCCTGGGTCCTTTCATAGTGGACAGACTTAGTTGTAAGGTTTACATTTTGGTTTCTCCTCTGGCTGTGACGGCTTAGATAAATTGCTACTTAATTTTTCCCCTTGTGAGTTCACTCCTCTGCATAATGGCCATAAAGATACCTACATCCCTAAGGCTGACTGCATGTGAAAATAAAGCCTATGCAAATGTCGGTTGAGATTATCATTAGGCATAAAGCACTTTCTATCTACCTACCTCTCTAATCTCTTGGCTAAGTGACTTTTAGAAGTGGAATAGAGCATAGAGAATGGCAGAAATCTCATGCCTAGAATAAATAGGCCCCAAATACACTCTTCTTCCTCTTTCACTCCTGATCCTACCAGCAAGTCTTTCTGTAAGTGGCAATGCCCCTGCTCTAACAGGACACAAGTGAGAAGACAACCATGTCTTTGCTCTGCTGGAGTAATGAGCCCTGCAATGGACTATGGCATTGAAGGCAGAAATAGGGCCTCAGGGCTGAAATTCATTGGGATTCAAATGACCCTCTACTTTAAGAGTTCCTCTATTCAAAAGTTAGTGTGTTATTGGGAAAATATCTATTAGCAGGGATGACGATGGGGGAGGGTGACCAATGGGAGAAATCTCATGACCAGCTTTGCCCCAGAAAAGTCTGAACTAGCCTGTTTAGGCACCGCACCCCCTCTGAGAGTCAGGGAGCACACTTGAAGGGTAGGGCCTCCACCCTTCTGCCTACATGTCTGACTTGCATGACCCCAGCACATGGTCACAGGAAATGGGACCATGGGTGGGTGCCCTTCCCAAAGCCAGCTAACTAATAGGCTGGCCTGTGATCTCCAACTTGGAGGATGGTGACGAACTGAACCAAGCATATCCACTCGTGAGGCTTTTGAACATGAGACAGACACAAAAAAATTTCATTGATAGGCAGCAGCAGGACGAGCAGATGACAGAGAGGAGCTGATTCACCACGTGAAGGGCCGGAAGAGGGAACAGAGGAAGCCCGTGCTATCCCCAGGGCTGCTGGCAGGCAACAAAAAACAGTGCTGATCCCGAACGAAGTATCCACCTTGAACATTTTAAATTGCTTTTATTCCCACGTTGTTTTTAGTAGAATTGGTTTTTTTAAAGAAAACTGCTCCCTAGTCTTGGCTGTCCCTGTCAGACTGTGCACCATTTAACACCTTCGACTATGCTAGTCCAGGTTTCCTCGTAACTTTGTTACCATGCTGTTTGATGGACCTCAGGGAATTTCACCCCAAAATATACCTACTTGGTACAAAGAGTTTTTTAAATTAAATGCTCTTTGAAACCAATAGTCCTTGGATGGGGCTTTCCCTCTTTCCTCATAAAAAACAGACCCATCAAAAAGAACAATGGACTGCCCTTCCCCTCCTGGCTATGTCAATATATCACAGGAAAGAAGATCAAGAGTACAACCAGGCCTGGCCCAAATCATTTAAAATATAACACCTGCCTCTTGGGTTAATTTGCAAAGAGAATCAATTACAAGCCAATCTGTTTTCCCTCCATCCATTTGTCCTCCCAGGTATCTATTCATCCTCCCTGCTAACCACTTACTGCTCTTAATCAGAATTATCTGCACCCCTCATCTCCCCTCCCCTCTAAAATGAGGGTATATAAATTTCTGGACCCCACTGGGATATTGAGTAATCACTGTGCGATTCTCCCCATGTGCATGGTAAATAAAGCTTTTTCTCTTATTAATCTGCCTTCTTGTGAGTTGATCTTTCAGCAAACCTTCAGAGTGAAGGGGAAGTTTTCCTTCACTCCAACATGTGAATGATTGAAAACTTAACTATGTATGATGTATGATATAGTATGTGAACTGCTGAGACTTACAATGTAACAGCTTATAACTTTTGAAGATGTTGGTACTTGATATCTTCTTAGGAAAAATTTGCCTGCACATTTTCTGGATTTAAGTTTTTCTGGATTAATTTTCTGGAAAGTCACTGGATTAACTGTTTAGAAAAGAATAAAAACTACATGGTTTCTTAAATTTGGGGGAGGTGCATTAACAATTGTGTACGAATTGTTCATAATGTCTACATCCTGGTCTTCAATGCAACCAAAATAATCTCAATTATGAAAGAAAAACAAAAAGACCTGAACAGACACCTCGCCAAAGAAGATGTACAAATGACAAAAAGCACGTGAAAAGATGTTCAACATCATACATCATTAGAGAATTGCAAATTAAAAAGACAGTGAAATGCCACAACACACCTATTCCAGTGACCCAAATCCAGAGCACCGACGACAGCAAACGCTGAGGAGGTGGAAAGCAACCCTGCCGGTGGGAATGGAAAATGACACCGGCACCTTGGGAGACAGTTGGGTGGTTTCTTACAAAGCTAAGTGTGGTTTTATCATACAGTCCAGTAATCTCACCCCTAAGCATTTACCCAATTGAGTTGAAAACTTATGTGCACAAAAACCTGCATATGAATGTTCTATAGCAATTTTGGTGGGGGTTTTTTTTTTGAGACAGAGTCTCACTCTGTTGCCCGGGCTAGGGTGCCGTGGCGTCAGCCTAGCTCACAGCAACCTCAAACTCCTGGACTCAAGCAATCCTTCTTTCTCAGCCTCCCAAGTAGCTGGAACTACAGACATGTGCCACCATACCCAGCTAATTTTTTCTATATATTTTGAGTTGGCCAATTAATTTCTTTCTATTTTTAGTAGAGACGGGCAGGGGGGGGGGGTCTCACTCTTGCTCAGGCTGGTTTGGAACTCCTGACCTCGAGCAATCCGCCCGCCTCAGCCTCCCAGAGTGCTAGGATTACAGGTGTGAGCCACCACGCTTGGCCGTATAGCAACTTTTTAAATAATCCCTAAAACCTGGAAGCCACTAAGATGTCCTTCAAAACAAATGTACAAACTACGGTACATCTATACCATGGAATGTTACTCAACAATAATAAAAATGAAATGAACATCAACACCATGATGGTTAGATGCAATGTGGCATTCTGGCTGGGATCCCGGAAGGAAAAAAAGATGTTAGGGGGAAATTTGAATAAACTATGGACTTTAGCTAATACTATAGCAGCATTGGTTCATCAGGTGTAAAAAATTTACCACATCAACTCAGTAGTTTTTTAACTCACTGCTTTCTAATTCAAATACGTCATTTAGAAATTAATTGCATTTAAAAAGTAATAAACTGATTCTCTCTGACACCTCCCCTACCCTCCTAGTTCAGAAACTATTACCGAGTTTCTTTCTTTCCCACAACATTATAGTTATTTGAAT